AGTGAAGGAAAAGATCTGAGGTGACATGCCTTGAGACAATAAAAGAGTATATGCCATAAAGCCATATCCTTGTTTCGAGAAATGAGTTGGTGAATCCAACATGGTTACCAGAAGGCTAAGTTAGACCCCCCGGCGTAATAGAAATTAGTATGGGCTAAAATAAGATAAAATAGAAATGAACTAAGGACCGAAGAATTTGATAATAGTTGACATTGCGAGAATTTCAGAGATCGCGTTCTGGCAATAAAACAATGGACAACATAAGAATAACCTTTAAAGGTCATTCAGGAAGACGCGTCCCCAAAGTAAGCATTGTGAGCAGAGTTAAGCGTAAGGGATTAAGTGTGTCAGTTACACTAGGCGTCACTCTTGTGCGTAAGAAATTCAGTTATCCCTGGTACAGAAGGGTTACCACAAGACGAGTAAGGGTCATTGAAAATATGGAAAGACGCTCAATATGAAGAGGTAAAATATTTATAGGTAAATCTTCATAGCATTAAATGTTAGTACTCCCTTAAAGGGGGGAAGATGGTGTGATATGGTATTAGGTCGGAGTTAAGTGGTTCAGCTAACTATGGAATAGTAAAGGAAGAATGTGGTAAAGAGGAAAAAGGAATGAGATTGCATTTATTCAGATCTTGCGGAGATGTTACAACTATAGAACATTATACAAGCACGATGCTGGGGAGAGGCAGTAAGGGTTCACGGCCAGGATGTTGGACACATGATGCATAAGGAGCCAGTGCGAGGGGTAAGTTAAGACAAAGGACATAACACAAGAGAGATTACGCGGAATATAGATATGAGAATGGACCAACGAGTAGTTAGTAGTTGATTTAGGATGAGCCTAGTTATGGCTGGACAAGAGGATACAATAAATCAACAGATCGTGAAAGATAAACGTAGTGAACCGCAATATAGGGAATTCAGTCTTGTATATATTACATCGTAATCCTTGAGAAATATTCAGATAGGATTTGGGGTGGGTAAAGGTACTGTATAAGTGTTACGAAAATAAAAGAGAGTGCCACTAGGGAAAAAAATAAAATTTTAGTTCAGAAGTAACCCTACGAGCACTATGGCACAGAGGTAAGTAACTAAGGATAAATATAGGCGAGTAAGAACATCGAAAGGATTTATTCAATCTATGACCAAAAGTTAGTCACGTTATGAGCGCACTTAAGATTTCAGATTATTATCCATACAACATATATATTGACATTCTTACAGTTATAGGAGGCTCCGATATAAGTTAAAAGAAAGAATTGAGTCCATGTCACAGACAAAGGCTTGAATTGTTAGAAGGTTATATCATGCATGTTCCATAGCGTCCACGAAAGGCTAAAGTAATAACTAATACCCTGAGCCACAGATTGGAAGATAGCTTAAGCCCACTTAAAGGCTGAGAGAGAAGAGGAAACTAAAGAGTTACGTTAGCTAAGTGAATCTAGAGTCTGATTATTAGACCCAGATAATTATAGAAATCGTGATTCAAAACATTGCAGAATCACTCTTAATATTAGAGGTACAAGAGAGATAGTACAACAACCATATTCTATTACGGCTCTATGATAAAGACAGTTAGATGAGTACATCCTCATATGAAGTCAGTATGAAGCTTCCGTCAGATTGTGTATGCATCAGAGGTGCAAGTATTCTAGTAGAGCTTTAAGGTGTGAATGTGAATTCCACCTATGTGGAGGGGAGGTTATGAATGCAACAGAAGATACAATGTGAGATTTAAAGGTAAGTGAGGTAAATATGAAGAAGGTAGGAGATACTCAAGTGCAGAAAGTTGTGAATAGTCCATACTTCAGATAGAGGGTTAGAAGCGATGTTATTCAGTATCAAGAAATGATAGTGGTATCATCAGTAGCATATCTTCCACCCAATGGTTTCCAGGTTCCGAGAGGTCTAGTTAAGAGAGTAAGTAAGAGTTAGAGATGGCGTGATGTCTCGCTTGAGGTTCCAGAACAACATAACAAAATCTATGGTACTAACAAGTTAAGGGAAGGTTGTGAGTAGTATAAATAGATATGTGTAGGTCGCAAACTAAAGTATGATAGAGCAACAAGGTTTTAGCTAGACATGAGTAAGGATAAGAAAAGGTGATTGAGAAGGTGACGAGTATAGGCAAGGACTCAGGATTAAGCCCATCAAAATAAGAGAGCTGATGGTTTCCATAAGTTTTAGGAAGCTCTATATATCCTGAATGAACTCGTAGGAGTTTAATACTAGGAGAATTTAGAAAAGATGGAATGCTACCCTGGTGGTAGAATGAGAGTGTAATTGTGATAAATGATAAGAGAATGACGTTTAGGCCTTTGATTGAGTAATGATTTAAAGAAAAGGGATTTCATGAATTGCACGGGATAAGAATACCCTCATAAGGTGAATCACGTTGGGATGCTATAAAATACGGTTATTGAAGTATAATATCGTCCCTAGGTGGATCAGGCATATCACTTCAGATGTTCCTCAATGAGAAGTGAGCCCTAGTGACAATGTATTACGTAAGAGGTTTCAAGTTATCAGTGGAAGATTATAGATCAACATTAAGGTGAATCAACAATAAATGGATAAAAGTCTAAAAGTATGATAGGGGATTGGGATGTCATTCTTTGGATGAACAGTAATAAGGAAGCACTAAAGGACATAGATTTATAAATATAGGATAAGCAGTGAGAGGGCAACCTGGAGTTGGGTAGCAGACCACGGTAATAATAAATCGAAGTAAGTGTTATGGTATAATATAACCTACCTAGATGTAGTAAAGCCATAAGTAGAGATAACCGAGTCTATGAAACAAGATATAGCAATAGTCGTAATTTCGATAAAGTACCAAGCGAAGGACTTCAGTACACCTATAGATGCCTACAGGGACAGCTTATCATAGTTCTGTATATGTTCACAAGGTAGGGCTTAGAGATTGGCCAAGAGCTGGAGGAAAAAGGAGAGGAGAGGCGCATAGGCGCATGATGTGCCGTAGAATTTCAGCACACTTGATACCAATTACTTAGATTTTAGCTCGTCTTTTAAGGCATTTTTAGTTAATTCTTATCAAGTTTGGTTGTTTTGTAGTGCATTAGCTTGAAGACCCAAAAACATAGAAAAGAAGTCAAAAAGTCACAAAAAGACAGAAATGCTGCAAGTATGCGACCGCATAAGTCACATGCGGACCGCATAAGTCAAATGGTGACCGCAAACTAAAGCAGAATTGTTGGCCAAATTAAGAGAAGAATATGCGGTCCATTATGCGGTCGCATAACACTTTTGCGATCCGCATAATAACCGCACAATTCCAGTTGAAGAAGCTTCTCAATATGTCTGTGATGGGAAAATACGGTCGCATAACAGATATGCGGACTGCATAACATATACGCGGTGGAAGCCTGAAACTGGCCATTTACAAGTCTACAACGAGAATGAAGGTTATGCGGACTGCATACATGGTCTGCGACGATTATGCGGTCGCAAAAGCTATTTGTAGGGGCAATTTTGTCCGATTTTGACCACGATTTTTAGTCCACTATAAAAAGAATAATTGGGGTTTTGTGGGGTATTCTAGTCTGAAAAAGGTCCTACATTGAGAGCATTGAATACTCCATTAATTTGGAAGCTTGTGAAGAAAGAATCTTGCACTTTTGTAAGATTTATGACTTTATTTATTACTTTGTTCTTGTATTTTAGCATGAGTAGCTAGTTTTGAAATTACTAATTAGTGTGTGCTTTACTTTACGTCTTCTTCTATTCCATCACACTTTGCTTGTTTTTCTTGGTGTTGATAGGAAAACATGGCCGAATATGAGGATGAAGAAAATCCTTTTGCGGACATAGATGAGTACATTGAGGATACAAATGCTATTGTACCTCCGAGAGTTGACGCTCGCACTTTCAAGGTGGAAGACGGTTTAATCCTAATGCTCAAAGCAGAGGGGTTTTTCAGAAATTCCACTGATGATGATCTGACACAACATCTCAGAAAATTCTTGGGTGTGTGTGTGATGCACAAGCAGAACAACGTCTCAGATGATGCCCTAAGATTGAGGGTGTTCAATTACTCACTGACTGGAGAGGCGAGGAAATGGATTCAAAATCTACCACCAAACTCAATCCATTCTTGTCCTAGGCTTGTCTGAGCATTCCTAGCTAAATGGTTCCCGCTAAGCAAGAAATCTGAGCTCCGGGATTAAAAAAAAATTTCAAGCAACTACCGGGAGAACATCTACATGAGGCATGGGATCGATTCAAGTTATATTTGGTGAGGTCGCCGAATCACGGTTTTCCGGATTCTATCTTGTTGGAGAAATTCTACATGGGTTTGGATGCTATGAACCAATTTATAGCCAAGAATGCAGCTGATGGATCTTTTATGGATAAAACATTTGCGAGGATCACACAAATCCTTGACAAATGGCAAAACATAACCAAGCTTGGCACTCAGAGGACACCACAGGTGGAATTGCATACGGTACTCCTTCCTTAACCAACATGATTAAGGAGAACCATGAAAGAGATCAAGTAAATGTCGGGCTTGCCACCAACATCAATGTGTTGACAAAGATGTTCACTGAAAGCCAAACAAAAAAGGTAAATATGGTGGAAGATGTTCAACCCACATCAAATGAAGATTATGAGGAAGCAAATTATGTCAACAACTCCCAAGGAGGTTATCAAAGGCAACAATACCAAGGTTCAGGACAACAAAACCAATGGAGTCCTAACCCGTAAGGGCAAGGCAACCAACAGTGGCAAAATAACCAAGGTAGTTCGAATCAAGGGAATTGGAGTAACAACAACAACAACTTTTCAAATTGGAGTTCAAACCCTTATGTTCCACTAAAGGGGCAATATTCAAATCAAGGTTCCTCAAGTGATTCCAAGTTGGAAAACATGCTTGAGCGGGTATTGCAAAATCAAGATAGGTCCGACACTTCAATGAGGAATATGACCGATCTTGTCGGCTCTCATACCGCATCAATTAAAAAGTTGGAGATGCAATGAGAGATCTCTCAAAAGAACAAAATCCAAACCAAAAGGGTACACTCCCAAGTGACACAATTGCAAACTCAAAGGGTAGTGGGAGTGGTCCAACTTCTCATTGCAGGGAAATTACAACTCGGAGTGGGAAAGTACTTCAAGGAGAGAACGAACAAGTGGTCGAAGTGGAAGATTCCGAAGAAGAAGTTGAGGCACAAGTTGAGGTGCCAATTGTTGTCGAAGCTAAAAAGGTCCCGGAAGAGTTGAAAGTTCAAGAAGTGAACCGGGAAGAGGATAAGGAAAAGGTGAAAGAGACACCGAAACTCTAGCACCACTTCCTAGACCTCCTCCTCTCCCTCAAAGACTTGCTAGGAAGGTGGATGATAGCAAACTCGAGAAGTTCTATGATATTCTAAAGCAATTATCGGTAAATGTTCCATTTGTGGAAGCATTTCAAGAGATGCCGGGTTTTGCTAGGTATTTGAAAGACTTGATCACCAGAAGAAAACCACCAAGAATGAAGTGGTGAATGTGACTCACCGGGTTAGTTCCATCATTGCAACAACCAGCGTTCAAAAGAAAGAAGACTCGGGAGCTTTTATAATTTCATGCACTATTGGGGCACGCGATTTTGCAAGAGCTCTTTGTGATAATGGGGCTAGCATCAACTTAATGCCTCTTGCTATTTACAAGCAACCGGGGTTAGGTATGCCGAGGCATACAAGTATAAGGTTGCAAATGGCCAATCGTTCAATAAAAAGACCGGTGGGAATTGTTGATGATGTGCTTGTGAAAGTGGGAAAGTTCCTCCTCCCCGTCGACTTTGTGATCCTTGATTGTGCCGTTGACAAAGAGATACCTATCATCTTGGGGAGACCATTTCTTTCCACCGGAAGAGCACTTATGGATTCGGAACGAAATGAGATCAAGTTCTGAGTCAATGATGAAGAGGTCACATTCCAAGAGAGCAAGGGTATGATGTTACCAAATGCATATGAAAGCATCTCAGTCATTGATGTTGTTGATGAGGTAGAAGACGCAATTGAGATGAAGATGGAAGAACAATGCCTTGGTGAGGCATTGGCGGCTATTTTGGTAATTTTTGATGGAGAGGATACGGAGGGGTACATGGAATCGGTGAATGCATTAGAAGGACTTGGGTCCTACACTTATGCTCCAAAGAAACTTTCTCTTGACTTAGAGAATAGAGTCACTCGTCCCGCCAAGCCTTCAATTATTGAACCGCCGCAACATGACTCAAGCCCCTTCCACCGCACTTGAGGTATAAATTTCTTGGCTCTACTGACACTCTACTGGTAATCGTTTCTTCTTTGTTGAATGATGTGCAGGTAGAACAAATGTTGAATGTCTTGAGGGAGCAACAATCGTTTCTTCTTTGTGATAATGGGGCTAGCATCAGTTTAATGATTCGTGCTATTTACAAGCAACCGGGGTTAGGTATGCTGAGGCCTACAAGTATAAGGTTGCAAATGGGCGATCATTCAATAAAAAGACCGGTGGGAATTGTTAATGATGTGCTTGTGAAAGAGGGAAAGTTCCTCCTCCCCGCCGACTTTGTTATCCTTGATTGTGTTGTTGACAAAGAGATACCTATCATCTTGGGGGGACCATTTCTTTCCACCGGAAGAGCACTTATGGATTCGGAACGAAATGAGATCAAGTTTCGAGTCAATGATGAAGAGGTCACATTCCAAGCGAGCAAGGGTATGAAGTTGCCAAATGCATATGAAAGCATCTCAGTCATTGACGTTGTTGATGAGGTAGAAGACGCAATTGAGATGAAGATGGAAGAACAATGCCTGGTAAGGCATTGGTGGCTATTTTGGTAAATTTTGATGGTGAAGATACGGAGGGGTACATGGAATCGGTGAATGCATTAGAAGGACTTGGGTACTACACTTATGCTCCAAAGAAACTTTCTCTTGACTTAGAGAATAGAGTCACTCCTCCCGCCAAGCCTTCAATTATTGAACCGCCGCAACTTGAACTCAAGCCACTTCCACCGCACTTGAGGTATAAATTTCTTGGCTCTAATGACACTCTACCGGTAATCGTTTCTTCTTTGTTGAATGATGTGTAGGTAGAACAACTGTTGAATGTCTTGAGGGAGCATAGGCAAGCTATTGGGTGGACAATAGCGGACATCCGAGGGATTCCGGCCGGAATTTGTGAACACAAGATACAATTGGAGCAAGAGAGCAAACCAAGGGTGGAGCACCAAAGAAGGTTGAATCCTTCCATGCAAGAGGTGGTAAAAAAAGAAATCATCAAATGGTTAGATCTCGGGGTGGTCTACCCCATTGCCAATAGTTCTTGGGTGAGTCCAGTGCAATGTGTGCCAAAGAAATGAGGCATGACCATGATTCATAATGACAAAAAATGAGCTCATCCCAACAAGAACAGTGACCAGATGGAGGGTTTGCATGGATTACTGGGAGCTAAATAGTGTGACTTGCCAAGACCATTTCCCTATGCCTTTTATTGATCAAATGCTTGATCGGCTAGTGGGAAGGTCATTCTATTGCTTCTTGGAGGATATGCCGGCTATAATCAAATCAACATCGCTTTGGAAGATCAAGAGAAGACAACATTCACATGCCCATATGGGACTTTTGCTTTTAGCCGGATGCCATTTGGTCTATGCAACGCTCCGACTACTTTGCAACGGTTCATGATGTCAATCTTCTCGGACATGGTGGAAGATTTCATGGAGGTGTTTATGGATGACTTCTCTGTAGTGGGTGATTCCTTTGAGCATTGTCTTGACAACCTTAGACAAGTGCTCAAAAGATGTGAAGAAACAAACCTTGTGCTAAATTGGGAGAAAAGCCACTTCATGGTGGACGAGGGCATTGTTTTGGGCCACGAAATTTCCAAACAAGGCATAGAGGTTGACCGGGTAAAGATTGAGATCCTTTCCAAGCTACCTCCGCCTACTTTAGTAAAAGGTGTCCGAAGCTTTTTGGGGCACGCCGGTTCCTATAGGCATTTTATCAAGGACTTCTCCAAGATTGCAAATCCCATGTGCAAACTCCTTGAAAAAGATGCAAAGTTCATACTTGATGAGAAGTGACTCAAGGCTTTTTGAGAAATTGAAAGAAAATCTCACCACGACACCTATTATTGTCACGCCCGATTGGTCTCTTCCATTCGAACTCATGTGTGACGCTAGTGGTGCAGCTATTGGGCGGTGCTTGGCCAATGTCATATCAAGATCCTTCGCCCTGTCTACTATGCAAGCAAGACACCTAATGACGCTCAAATGAATTACACTGTGATTGAGCAAGAACTTCTCGCCATTGTCTATGCTTTTTAAAAGTTTCAGGCTTATTTGTTGGGGTCCAAAGTGATAGTTTACACCGATCATGCTGCTCTTCGTTATCTTATGGCGAAGAATGTGGCCAAACCAAGATTGATTCGGTGGGTCCTTTTGTTGCAAGAGTTTGACTTTGTAGTCAAGGATCGGAAAGGGACAGAAAATCAAGTTGCAAATCACCTATCTAGGCTTGAGGACGCAGGGAGACCAAAAGAAGACCTTGAGATCAACGATGTTTTTCCTGATGAGCACATATTGGCATTGTCTAGCACATTCTCTCCTTGGTATGCCGACATCGCTAACTTCTTGGTTAGTGATCTTATCCCCGATGGATTGGAGACTTATCAAAACAAAAAGTTCTTGCGGGAATCTAGGCAATACTATAGGGAGGAACCCTTTTTGTTCCGAATTTGTGACAACAACATCATTCGGCGGTGTGTTCCGAAAGATGAAGTAATGCCAATTCTCAAAGCATTCCATGATTCTCTGGTTGGGGGTCATCATGGAGGAAACTGGACTGCTGCAAAGGTGCTTGAATGTGGCTATTATTGGCCATCGATCTACCAAGACGCAAATCAAATAGTCAAAGCATGCGATCAATGTCAAAGACAAGGGTCAATATCCAAAAGACATGAGATGCCTATGAATTTTGTACTAGAGGTCGAGATCTTTGATGTTTGGGGGATAGACTTTATGGGTGAGCTCTTATGGCATGACCTACATCTTGGTGGCTGTGGATTACGTCTCCAAAATGAAGCAAGGAGTGTGACCGCATTCTTGAAGAAGAACATATTCACGCGGTTTGGTACCCCAAGGGCCATCCTGTGTGATGGTGGTTCTCATTTCTGCAACAAGGCTTTTACCGAGCTTCTTGAAAAGTATGGTGTAAAGCACAAGGTGGCCAGACCCTATCATTCTCAGTCGAATGGTCAGGTTGAAGTTTCTAACAGGAAAATCAAGAACATCCTAGCAAAAATTATCAATGCAAACAGGACCGACTGGTCAAGGAAGCCAGATGATGCGTTGTGGGCATATCGCACAGCATTTAAGACTCCCATTGGCACTTCACCATACCTATTGGTTTTTGGAAAAGCATGTCACTTGCAAGTGGAGCTTGAATGCAAAGCCATGTGCGCATTGAAGAAGTTTAATCTTGACTAGGCCGAGGCTATTAATCTGAGAATGACACAACTCAATGAGATGGAGGAATTCTATCTCCATGACTATGAGAGTGCAGCCATGTACAAGGAGAGAATGAAGTTTGTCCATGATAAGAAGATCTTGAAGCGGGAGTTCAATTCTGGTGACTTGGTCTTACTCTTCAATTCAAGACTCAAGTTATTTCCAAGAAAACTCAAGTCCAAATGGTCTGGCCGATTCAAAGTTGTGAGTGTTTCCCCCTATGGTGTTGTTGAACTGCTATCGGAGGATAGGACTCGAACTTTCAAAGTGAATGGTCGACGAGTCAAGCATTACCTCGTTATCATAGGCGAAAGGCATTTGATAGAACAATATGCTCTAAAGGATAGTCCAACAGCAGTCCCCACTAATGAATAGCCAAAAAGGGGTCAATTGCGTCGTGCCGCGACGTTAAATCAAGCGCTTCTTGGGAGGCAAGCCATGTATGGAAACACTCTTTTGTAGTTTTTTATTTTATTTATGTAGTTTAGATTGAGAAAGTTGACGTGTGTGTTAGAGTGCAGGTAATCCCAAAATATCATGAACAGGGTCCTAGTGCCGAGGAAACTAAAGGAAAGAAAGGTCCAGAATTGGCGACAACTATGCGGTCGCATAATGACTATGCAAACCGCATAGTCATCGCAGACCCAGGAAGAAAATTGGTTAACTTGGTGTTCAAAAATACGGTAAGCTTTTCACTTATGCGGCCCACATAACAACCTTGCGATCAAATAATGCATCGTAAAGTCAGTTTAGGTTGCCATGTCATTAGTCCATCGCACAACGCATATGCAATCGCATAATGTGTTCTGCGATGGACTTAAGCGCCACAGACTTGACAAGTACAAAACCCTAACCTTCCGCATTTTCATCTTCACTCTTATCACACACTAACATTTAATCAAAATCAAAAAAATTACGAGCAAGGAAAGAAAAAAGAAAAGATCAAAAAGAAAAAAATTACTCACCAAGCAAGGAATCCCACTCACACGAAGCATTTCGGGCTTGCATAATCTCGCTCAAATTCTGGTATGGTTGTTCTTCTCCATCTCGTAATTGTGACTTATATTTCTTCCTAAATTCTGAGCTCCATGGTCGTCCCCCTTGTTCCCCTAAATTCCCTCTGAGTACGGTAGCATAGTGGTGAGGATTTGGTTGAGTGACTGTGTGGGTTCTTGTTGATGAAACAAAAAGGGGGAAGTCTGAGTACCCTCTCATTTTAAAATGACTAAATGGCCTATAACAACAATGAGAAATCTAAGTAGGTAGCAATAGGAAAGCACGTGAGTGTGATGTGCATATGGTGTGAAGAACATGTGAGTGGGGTGTGCATATTGAAAAAAAAAAGGGGGGGCACTATTTCAATGAAGAAGACGATCTTTGCGGGCCGCATAATTGGTTTGCGGTCCGCAAAGTTATA